GAACTTTTTAAAAGGAAGTGATAATCAGACATACACATGACTCAACATGGCTGAATCTTGAAGACATACCAAGTGGAAGAAGCTGGCCTAGAGAGGCTGCATGTGTATGGAATGTCCAAAACAGGCAACTTCACAGAGATGGAAAGTGGGTCACTGTGCCTAGGAGCTAACAGTTTTCAATGATGTAGATGTCCTGGAAGTAGATAGTAGAGATCATTGCACATTGTGAATATACCCAAACTCATGGATTTTTTTAAAGCTAGATTTTTAATTATAGACTTGTGTGTGGGTATATGCACCTGAGTGCCCATGCTAGCAAAGTCCAGAAGTGTGGCATCTCTCTAAAGCTGGAGTTAGAGGTGATTGTGAGCTGTCTGACTGAAGACTGGGAACCAAACTCTCGTCCTCTGCAGGAGCAGCACATTCCTTTTTTGTTTGTTTGTTTGTTTGGTTTTTGTTTTTTGTTTTTTTTTTTTTTTTTGAGACAGGCTTTCTCTGTATAACAGCTAGCTATCCTGGAACTCACTCTGTAGACTAGGCTAGCCTCAAATGCACAGAAGTCCACCTGCTGGGATTAAAGGCATGTGCCACCCTGCCCAGCTAAGGATTAATCTTAAATTATGTGAATTACATCCCCACTGACTCTGCAAACCATATATTTTAAGAAGAATACAGAAGGCCAGCACTCTGTTTGAGGCCTGTCTATCTGAGCTACACAACAAACTCCAGGCTAGCCAGATGTGCATAGTGAGGCCCTGTCCGAAAGAAAAAAGGGATGAGGGAGAAAGAACAGTCTGTGATCTAGAAAACTCCTTCATCCAAATGACAGTGTATCCATAGTCTTACTAACCCTGAGCTGGGGAGAAAGGGAGAAGAGCTCCCTGAGTGCTTCTCACACTGAAAACTACTGGATTTGAAAGATCTAAATTTCTGCGTGTTTTTCTCTGGCCCAGAACTTGGATCCTCCTGAATCAGCTTCCCAAGGGCTGTGCTCCTCCCCCTCCCCCAGGGCCTCCTGTGTGCTGGGCAAGGACTCTCCTACCACGCTACAGCCCCAGTCCTCCAGTATAAGAAGCAGATACTTCTAACTTCTTTTCTTGTGTCTTCATTGTGTTTACTTTTTTCTTTGTTCATTTTGTCTGCAGGGGTCTCATGCAGCTCAGGCTGGTCTTACCGCTCACTGTGTAGCAGGGGTGACCTTGAGCTCTTGATCCTCTTGCCTCCACCTTCCAAGTGCCAGGAATATAGAGCCGTGCCACTGTGCCAGTTTCCTTTATTTGTTGGATGGTACAGCCAGCAACTTGGCAAACTCTAGAAAGAAGGGCCTGGCTGCTGAGGCGGGCACACTCTGAAGTGCTGCTGTTGGAGCAGTGAACAGCACCTCTGTTGATCTCTACAGGAGGTGGAGGGTCGGGTTCATTGTTGTTCTGAGACAGTCTTACCTCTGTAGCTCAGGCTGGCCTCTCCCGATGGAGTGACAGACCAGCATTTTCTTCCCTGACTTGCTTTCAGAACACATAGAGTTCCAGGGTTGTTTTTGTGACTTCCTGTAAAGGAGCAGTTTTATCCTCACCTGACGTGGTGGTGCACGCCTGCCTGCTGTCCCAGCACTGCACTCTGACACATGGCGTGAGAGAGACCTGGATCAAACCAAAGAAACCGTTAAGTGCCAGCTACGTTGGCTGAATAGGAACAGCCCAGCTCTGACCATTCTTCCCAGGAGGGTCCCATGACAGACTCCTCAGCTCCTTGTTAACATTGGAGTGGGGACTGCTTGTGAACAGATAATGTCATTTCTGATCATAAAGCTGTGGATAAAACAGAGTAAAGTGATAGCTTGGTGGAGGTTGTCCTCAGGGAAGGCCTCCAGGGATGGTGACATTTGAAGGGAGTTCTGAGTGCTGACACACAGCCAGCCCTGTGACAAGCCAGAAGAAAGCCTTAGGCCAGCATTCTCATGAGGAAAGACTGCACTCCAAAGTCCATAGGGGCATGCGTGCTCTCTGACACCCTTCAAAGAGATTGGCCCTGGCTGGAACACCGCTGCTGGAGGGAGACGGGCTGGTTCCAGGGTAGACACGCAGGACCTTTGGAATGCTCTCGCGACTGCACTCTGCAGTATTTATACCTCTCCTCCAAAGGGGAAGTCAGCTTTCTCATGTAGGCTGAGAAAAATGCCGAATAAGGCAACTAAAGACCAGACCATGAGAAGCATGCCATATTTCACTGTAATTGCTTCAAGTTAAGCTATGTTGTCATGGGGCAGTCAACACCACAGTCCATTCTGCCCCTGCCTAGGCCAGGCCCAGTGTCCTGGCCCTGCAGCAGTGGCAGTCCTGGTTCCCTGTGCTGCAGGGGTGTCTGTGTTGCATGTTGCCATGCCCTCCCCTCCCATGAGTGACCATGAGCATGCTGTTGTCTCACTGTGGCCCCTGGGTTCCATCCCCTCCAGGATCTGGTGCGGTAATGGATCTTTACAATATCACTCACAGGTACAAACTTACAACCTCTTTCAGAGGCCTCAGAGACTAGCCAAAGTGATCATCTCTGCCTGGGCAGCTGGTAACCTAGATTCCAGAGGCTGAGCCCTGAAAGCACCTTTATAGTTGGTGAGGAGGCCCAGGGCCCCACAAGCAGTCTCTGCTTTCAGGAACTGAAAAGCTCTCACTGGGTCCAGCCTGGCCTGGGGCCTGGCAGATGGGCGATAAGAAAGGTGGTTCTTTACCCTAGAAATAAATAGCTCTGCCTCTCCCATGTCCAAGCCCTGGATGTCCCTCCTGAGGACCCATGGAAGCAGGAGCCATGGGCACTGTCAGAGGCCACAGCAGACAAGGTTCAGGAGGTGGGACATCGCCTTCCCCCTCAAAGCAGCTGGTGCCCCAGTGGAGCCGCAGACCCAACACACCCAACACGGTATTTCAGAGATAAGGTTTGAAACTCCAGGACCCTAGGGTGCTCTGCCTGGGCCGAGGAAAAGTGCAGTCCAGCCTTGTGGGTGAGGCAGTAGACTGGCCTGCTGAGTGGGTGGCGGTGCGCGTGCGGATGGAGGGGGTGAGAAGTTGATGGAATCCACATGTGCGGTGTGTCGGCTAGGCCCAAACCCTTTGTCCCTTAGAGTCAGAGCCAGCATGTGTGCCTTAGCCTTGGGACGCATCACAGCCCGTCTAAGTCCAAACAGGCATTACAAGGCTTCTTGTCCTGTGCAGAGTGCAAAGAATGGGTTTTGTCTTGAGAAGTCAGGAAGAAAATGGAAGGGACTCATCCAGCTGGGCCGACTGCATCCTGTCAAGGGCCATCCTTGAGTTTGTCTTCACAGCCTGCTGCTGCCTCACTTGGCCACTGGCTTTGGGAGTGTGTGCTTCTTGTCAGGGACAACCCAGAGGGAGTTCACCTCTCTGGTTGGGGGGAGGCATCATCATCAATGAAAGGCTCATTAAAGCCCTCTGCTGCCACATTCCTGGCCGCTTAAGTCACCTCCAAACAATATCCATCATTCATTCACCCAGCCACCCCACATCCTGGTGGCTGGGTGGGTCCCTGTGACACAGGAAGGACTTTATGACCTGTAATGCCAAGCCTTCTCCCCTCCCCCAACACCGAAGCATGATAATGCAGAAAGCCCTTGCCAGGGTCCACACGGAGGCTGCTCACCTCACCCACCCAGCCCCCACTGGCCTAGCACCTGACCAGTGCCAGCACACAGGCTTCTCTTTTCCTCTCTCAGCCCTTTCCATTCCTGCCTCTAGCCCTCCTAAAATTAGAGAAGGTTCCAGCTTGCTGCAAGCAGGGCAAGCTCTGAAGACTCATCCTGTGGGTTTCCACGGGCGTTCTCAAAGGTGTACAGCCCACATCCTTCCTCCCAAGTTAGGCCAAAGGCCAGGAAAGGCTACCTTCATGGGGTGATTTCCTCTTCGGGTAGTTCTGACAGGCTGAGAGCAGGATGGCCACCCCAAAAGGGCTTTACCTTCTTCATCAGGGACAGCACCTTCTTGATCAAGTCTGTTGGCTCTCCAGCACCAGCCCACTGCCACACGACCCATATTGACACTGGTCCCTCCCTGATAAGACTGAGAGCATGGGTCTGCATCTTCAGTCATGCCATGCGTCACTGACTTCTCTGCCCTCCTTCTACCGGAAGGAAGTTTTTCCTTTCTTCCTGCTGATGACATACAGGCCTCCTGCTCTTTATGCACACTGCAGCAGTCCTGTGATCTTTGAAAGACCCTGTGAAGCTGTTCTGCCAGTGTCATTCCTTGCTCCTTTCTTTAAGTGAGTTCTGCTCTTCTGACACAGGGCCTTTGCTCAGGTTTCTGTCCCCGTTTCTCTATTCTTTGTGATTCCCTCACAGCTGCTACTTGTGTACACACACACGTGTACACACACCTGCTAAACTCTCCGCAGCTCTGGTGTTTAGAGGGGCCTTGGAAGCCTCAGGACCTGCTACAAGTCCAGGTGGGTGGATATGACTGGTGTGAGCAGCTGCCTCAGCTTTATGCTCTCCATTCCCTCTCCTGTCAGATAGGAGCAATAACAGCCCCTTCACTAAGTGGTGTGAGCACAGAGATGCTGGTGTGTGACAGGCTTGTGGGGTGGTGCCAGCGGTAAACTGGCTGTGATGCATCTGCCGTGGTTGTTGTTCCCCCTCTCTTAAGGTGTGTTTGATACGGAACGTGGCTGGATTGGTCATGTACTGGCCCTGCTTAGGGTTAGGGTATGCCAACTCAACTTCTATCAGATATTGTTGGGTTTGGGGGTTTTGTTATTGTTGTAGTTTTTGTTGTTGTTGTTGTTGTTTTGATTGTTGTGCTTGTTTTTTGGAGACAGGGTCTCTCTACATAGTTTAGCTGTCTTAGAACTCTGTATAGACCAGGCTGGCCTCAAACTCACAGAGGTCCACCTTCCTCCTGAGCCTTGTGAGTAAAGCCTCCAGGGCCATTTTTTGTCAGTGTTCGATTTCTGCTAGGCACTCACAGGTCTGGCCTAGAGACACTTAGCAGATGGCAGACTCCAGGCACCGGGGTTGTTGCAAGCAGGCCTGGGAATTGTGCATTGTGGAGGAAGTTGGGGTGGGCACATGGATTGAGGCCTCCAGCTATAGAAACCACCCTCTATGTCATCCACCCCACAGTGCTAGTCTGAATTGGGGAGGGAGAGGAGGGATCTGAGCAGAGGGTTATTTTTGTAACCAAGTATAAAAACCCATGAATTTTTAATGTCCTTTTCCAACTAACCCCCTTGCTAGTCTTGCACGGAGCAGTAGTGGCTCCAGTCACTTGTCCCCGTGTGGCTTCCTGAGAGCACACTGTTCTTGCCCTCCACTCAGGACAGGAGAGCCACACACCAGCAGACAACCCTGGAATACTTGAGGGCCAGGAAGGAGCACCTCCCTATCCTCTTGCTGGATGTCTTCCTGGCACCTGCTCTGTGTTGTGCAGTCAGAAAGATAGATGCACACGGCACAGCCACCACAGGCCTTGGGAGTGTGCACGACATCGAGAACCTCACAGGCCAGGCCCAGGGCCGAGTGACTGGCTTGCATCACTCTTTTAATCCTCATCTTAGCAGAGATTATGGTCCCCATTCATCTTTTTCATTTACCCAAGGTTATGGCAGTTTGCCTCAGTGGCAGAGGCAAGACTACCTCACTTTACTGCCCAGAGGATATGAGAAAGATGGAAAGTGTTTCAAGGGCAAGTGGGGCGGCCCCTGTGAGCACAGGTGGCTTGCACCTGGCTACTAGGGTTTATTCATTATCTCCTGCAGTCTCATGTCTCCTCTAAACTGCAGGAGCAGGCCAAGGACCTGTACAGAGGAGAGAGCGGTTCTTTAGGGGAGGAACCCATCAGTGTATATGATTCACCTGGCACTGAATATCTGCCAAGGCCCGTGACAGATGCTTAACGTGCCTTTCTCCATAGTTAATCCTTAGAGCAACTACAGGAGGTGGGTTCTGATCCGTCCATCTTACAGGACAGGAGACAAGCTGCAGTGGGTGACGTTGTTTGCACGGAGCAAATACCCAAGAAGCTGGCCTTGAGACCCTCATCTGTACTCTTTCCACAGCATGCTGGAGTAACCCGTGTAGGCCCGGGGAAGCAGGGACACCCTTCAGACACGTGCCCAGGACTCTGAGCAGTATCCGAGTACCAGGGAGCTGCCTTCCTACGTGCTCGGGCTGTCAGATGTGACTTGGTCACTTGGTGGTCCAGCCACATCTTGCACACATCTCAAGAGCACATACCCGGCATGCTCAGCCCTGTCTGCTACTGTCAATTCCTTTGAGCTCTGTTCTTGTAATTAGCAGCGTTATGGATCGAACCCAAGGCCTTTAATGTAGTAGGCAGGCGCTCCTATGGCCCAGCTCGTCCTCTGACTGCTGTACCTGCCCACTGTGTGGGACAATAAGGCTGTGAGACAGTTTTCTCCTCAGAGTTCACATGTGGCAGGAGAGTGGGCTGTGTGCCTGCTAGAACCCAGTAAGGTAGGAAACCGTTCACACTTGCCATCCTAGCACTTGGGAGGTGGAGGCAGGACGATCAAGAGTTCAAAGCTAAGGCAGGAGAGATGGCTGAGCAGTAAAGAGCACTGACTGTTCTCCTAGAGGGCCTGTGTTCAATTCCCAGTACCCACATGGCAACTC